CTGCTCCAAGGGCAACTCCCTAAAGGTCTTAATACTCTCAAGCCTGTCTGTCAGAGAAGCTTCATAAAAACTTCACAAGACAGAGCAATACTCAGCAAAACCAAGTTAGTTGTTTCCCCATCAACCCAGCAAGGGTTTCAAGATGTCAGCTGTTTCTTTTTTCCAAGGATTCTACCCAAGCTGGTACTTCCACAGTCACTTGGACTATCTCAATACTTCCTACAAGTACAGAGTAAAGTGAGATTGCTATGGTTTATGATAATATTCTTGCTAAATAATTAAGGCAATTCATTTACTTGTAGTAAAAATTATTCATGTGCAATTTGGGATCAAAGTACTACCCTATACCCCATGTTTATCATACTAGGTCCAATGATATTTATTAGAAACAGTACAAATATAATTGTTGGGAGATGGTAAATGAGTGGCAATGCTTGAACAGGCTGTTGTCAACAATTCAACCAAGAACCTGTGGAAACTGCCGAAATCAAGTGAAACAGCAGGGTAGTAATGGAAACTTTTGAACTTCTTCACACAGAGGCACAAGATTTATCTTCCTGATTGCTGTAGTGTTTCAGATAGCAGGAGAACATGGGAATATGGGCCTTAATGTCAGCTAGTAAACTTTACTGACCTTTGGAGGGAGCTCCATGTGACACAACAATCACAGTAATCAGAAGAAGCTCTATCTGCTCTGATACAGCTTTATGGCATGAGCAGATACTCCTTTTTCTCCTCACAATTGCTCAGTGCTCTGCTTCAGTCATTGCACAAGACAGAGAATGCTCACCTGATGACCAGTAATTGGATAGCAAGAAAAAAAGAATATCAGTGTATTGCCCTTTGTTTTATTCATTGCATATTGTCCCAGTCTGAGGACAGAACCACCAGATCTTAAGGGCTCTGCAAATACCCATTAATTTCTACAATCTGCAAGAATGTCAGAATATTATCATCTCCACTTCCCTGAACTGAGTCACCAAGATCAAGGTCACAGTAGCCCTTAATAATGGATGCACAATTTAAGATTGGTAGAACTGAATTTTGCAAGGGATTGGTACTTTTTTCCATTGTTCAGCTTTTCAACCTGCTTTTCAAAATGATTGGTACTTCTTGCACCAAGTGCAGATCCCCAAAGTTCTGAATTCTCAGTTTTTGCAAATTATTTTAGACTTTGTCCAGGCAGTTCTGGTTTCCCCCAGCACCAGAAGCCCCCAAGTAGCTGTCCTTGTGCACCCTGAGTAGCTATGTTTGCAGACCCTCCACACCAGCCTCTTCACTCCCTCTTAGCTGCTCAGCTGGTTTCTCCAAGTCTCCTCTGCTTTCCCAGTTTCTATTTTCATTGGTTCTTTCCAATTCACATTTCATTTTTACAAGCTTTTTCTCCCAGCCTACTCCATAAATATTTCCTGCCTATTTGGTCCTTGTTTCTTCTGCACGTGAGATGGGTAGCTACCTCCAGCTTCTCACCTGGAGCCAACAGGAGCCACTAAAAGCACTGCATGGGAGGAACAGTCCACTTACATTCAATTCAGGTCCTCAAACCAAATCAAGCCTGCAGCAGCTTGCGGATGCAGTCACAGAAAAATTTCTGTTCAGAAGTTGACTGGGATGGAGCACACCCAGGACCAACAGGCAGAGTGGGAATTTATCTGCTACCACATCTATCCAGTCTGCAAAACCTGACGTCTCCAGTGTATAGACATCAGGAGATTTTCCACAAAGATAAAATGTTCATCTTTGATTCTGAATTTTGAGTGGCCTCTTCTTCTGGAACAAGCAAGAGACTTTTAAAATCGTTTTTGTTTGCCTGTTTTTAAGTAGGGCAAAACCAATGCTCTCCTCTGCCCAGGTTCTTGCAAAATGACAAAATATTTCAGCTAAATTTTCCAGCAAAGTTCAGATTTGGAAATACACCTGGCACAAAAACCTTTCCATCCAAAGAATTAGCCATCAGCAAAGTCACAGAAGCCAGGGCAGGTCCTGAGACCTAGGTAACCCCAACATGAGAGCTTCCCAGCTGTGTCTGAGCCACTGTCAGGGCAGGCAGAGGTTGGGCAGGAGACCTGGGGTTACAGGGAGGGAGCCCAGGAATTAAGGGAACACAACAGTGAAGGAGGTGAGGAGGTGAGTGTTTAAATTAACTCCATCATCAGCTTCTCTGTAATCTCAGTTTTTGGCTGGTTGGAAGGATGAACAGAAATCACGTGTGACTGTGTGCAGGAGATGGGGACAACAGCAACACTAGCCTGATGGTTACAGAAGCTGTAATTTCTTTTTATTTCCACTGTATTCTATGTGAAAAGCATTTCAAGACTTACCCCACCTCCCAGATCCCATTATGAAAAGCTGGATTTCCCAAAGCTGTTTTCCAACATGTCAAATTCAGGTTTTGTGGCTCTGTTTGACAGCTTTATGAAGACAGCATTAACTCCTGACTGAGCATAAGCTACCAGGTCGCTGAACACCAGTGCTTTGCCTGTATTAGATGCAATTCTTGGAGCCCCTATCCTCCATCCTCAGCAGAGTCCGTCCTACCCCTCCATCTTTCAGTGGCAGGCAAGACAATTCCCAGGACTTTCACCAAGCTACGGTCACAAGGAGAAGACCTCAACAGGGTCAGTCCCACCATTTCTGCTCATCTACTGCAGTGCATCAGCAAATCCACCTGCTCCCATCACCTGTGAGCCCTGGTCTGGCTGGCCCAGCACTGGTCACTGCAGAGTGGCTGTCCCACCTGCAGCAAGTACACAACCTGCCTGGGCTCCTTCAGCATGACACTGGCACAAGCAGGATCTAGAGAACACATCCTCAAATTTTCACTTGTGTTCTTTGAAACAAACACTTATTCC